CTTGTTATCAATCATCATCATTGTCTCTATCTACTTCTGGACGTAGGACACCAATATTAGAACAATAAAAAATAAGTACAGTTACTAAAAATAGTCTTTTGAATTTCCCCACTTTAAGCGTAACAAGCATAATAAAACTTTCTATACAATTCTCTACATACATATTTTGTCTAACTTATTTACAGAAAATGTGGTATAAACTAATCGCGTCAAAGTAAGTTACAGTGTTGAACGTACGAACGTATTTCGTAGCAGTCCTACGGCGTAGCTTCGTAGCTTCGTAGCTTTCTGCCTTTCAAATGTTTTACATTCCAACATTATATTTCCTTTGTTTGTATAAGCCGACTGTAATTATTTTTATAACACCTAAATATACGGCGTTGGATAAATTATTAAAATAATCATATAAAATGGGTCTTGTGGATATATTTTCGCTGGATACAATGTTGTATTCGTGGTAGAGTAAAATAGATTTAATCTTTAATAAAGTTACATGAGTTCACTAATGCGTTCCTTAAAATATATGCCTAATTAATGTACATAGAAGTAGTCGTGACATATTTAATGTAACATTAAATTTTCGCTAGTCTTCAATCGAAACTCTTCGTTAAGAAAATCTATTGCAACTTTGTATTTTCACACACTCAAAGAATACTTTGCTTTATGACAAAATTGCTCTCAACTCGGAAATCGATGTAGGTAACCTTCGTTGTTAATACTAATATGGCACATATGCCATAAGCTCATAAGCTGAAATCAATGGTTGAGTGGTTGATCACAGCCTCAGTTTAATATTTTAGTTCAAAATAATAAATTCTAGCGTGTGTCGAATAGAGAGCGTACCATTTATACATAACATCACGCCTTTTATTCTCGAATGGGTAGACAGAGGTGCACATTATACCACTGTACAATGTAACACCCACTTTTCACTATTTATGTTATGAGTCCCATGTAATAGGGGGTGAGCCTATTGCCATATACCGGACACAGTTCCAGACTACGTGCTACTACTGAGAATTTTTAAAAACCCGATAATACTTTGCCCGACCTGGGAATCGAACCCGAGACCCCTTACTCAGCAGTCGCAATTGCGACCACTCGGCCATTGATGCAGTCAATGGCCGTCGTACCATTCAATTTGCTCAATTTAATTCAAAATACATTTATTTGTACAACAAGAAGGTTTATTCATAAGACATGATGCCATACAATCTGTCGAATGATATATGTATAAAGATACGATGGATGCCTAGTGAAAACGTCTTTGACTCATATCATACGTCATCACCATCGATAGCTCGTGGCAGTTCTAGCCATCGCGGGAGATACTCCGGGCGTCGGAGATCACGTGATGATCACAACTACTACATATGGGGCTGATATCTGATACGGCGCTGCAGAACACATAACAAGTTGCCGGAGCTCCGGCTCGAAGAGCAGGATTAGGAACGAGGTGGTTTAGTCAGTAAGATACTTTTCTCGCCTCACCCAAGGCCGTAACAGGAGTAGGATGATTTTCCCCCTCAAAATAAATTGTATTCATCTTCTTTAATTCGTATTTAAATATTGATACATACATCAACAGCCTATATGTGGCCACTGCTAACCAAAGGGCTTTTCTCACACGGAGAAGGTTTAAGCATTAATCACAACGCTTGCTCAGTAAGAAATTATAAGTCCAGGTTTCCTCACGATGTTTTCCTTCACCGTTCCTTTTGTCAGTGGTGTCTAAATACTCTTAGAAAGTACATATTATAACTTTCTTCTTTATATTTAAATTAAAAAAGTCACATTGGTACTTGCCTTATGTAGGTTTCGAACCCGCACCCTCGTGCATGAGTCGAGGTGGTCTGGAGTATCGTGGTGGTGCGGAGGTTTAAGACGCCTGCTTCTCTAAATATAGCCCAGGCCAAATCTCGGAATGAGAGATAATCAGCTGAAAACTAAAATTTTGAATGATATGGAGTACTTAATAACTGATATAATCTTAATTCTATCGATCAAGATCGCAAACACTTAAACTTCCTCTGCGTAGTTGACTATCTCAATTATGATTGAGCTCGAAAGTCACTCGAAATGTTCACAGATATATATTGGTTGCAATGGTTGCAATTAACACCAACTGCTACAGAATTTCATGTTACCAGCTACGTATCAACTTCATAAATGTAATATTACTCTACAATATTCGAAATACTCAGAAATTGTGCTAAGCTATTATTAAATTGTGTTCGATAGGAGGCAATAGGCTTACTCGATATTACATGGAACTGGCGACTGACGCAACATGGGTATTACAATTAGATAGTATGTACATGTGCAAGCCTATGTAATGATTCTGGGAATGCAATGATACAATGTTATGCAGTTGAATCGTGTTGCTGTTATACGAGTTTCAGTCATGTACGTAGTTGACGTATTGTTAAATTTATAGATTTATAGTATACCTATCTATAGATATTTTCCAGTTTTTTTTTAAGATTTACTTACTTTTGTATATTTTAAGAATGGGTCTTATTTTTGGTTATAGAGTAAAATGTTTATTATAAATTCGTTAGTATGATTCATTCAGTTACCTTTACTAAAATAAGAATTCACATAAACTGGAACTACAATTAGTGGATCTTGGAACACATTGAATATTGAGCCCGCGACTCGTTGCATAACTGCTTATTGCCACTGGACTAACTGTGCTCAAATATTTTTAAATACTAATTCATTTTTCATACAATTACATAATTTTATCACACTAAGTGTTGTGCAGAGTGTAAGCCTAGCCATATGATCCTATTGGACATCGGCAGTTTGTGAGACCAAACACAAACACACACAAGCACACATTTGACAATTGGTACCTTGGACACAGCTTAAACACTAAAATATAAATAAAAATGATTACAATCCCTTTTTCTATTAATACTATAAATTGTATTTCTCCACGCATATGTGTCCATGCCCTTCTCATATTACGGTTACATTGTTTTCATGGTCAAATAATTGTTATAAAGATCTCACATGCTTCGATGACCACCAATATCACAACACAAATTACTTGATGTTGTTACCTAATTATTATAATCTTACACTAACCCTACTGGATCAGCTCACCAGCACGACGAGCGAGCCGCCCTGCTCCAGCAGAAGGCACCCGTTCACAGGTATGACGTGTAGGCCAGCAATCGGTCCGATCAACTAATTCGTAGTCAACGGAACGACCCAGCTCACAGCGCCACCGAGTGTACAACATTACTACAATCCTTTGTCATCAGTTGTTTCATGCCTCGGATTCCTTTTAAATTCATATCTACGATTATAAGAGTGAGGACACAGAGAGCATCGTGTTAACACAGAAGTATAAGTTTTTAGAAATGATAACGAATAAGGAAATAATAGATCTATAGGGTATTTCGTAAATTTTAATGTAACGTCCATCTGATAGATCATGTTGAAACATTAGAAACGTATTCTTTCTTTTCTTACAAAATTAAATACTTTCGGAGATATATTGCTTTCAAAGATCCTGTGACGTCACGATTTACTTTTTATAGGGAACCGTTACTTAACGACCTCCCACTCCTAAACTCAGATTTTATCTAAGTATTGTAAACTTTACGATAAATTGACGGATTAATATGATATATTAATTTTCATACTCCGTCATTTACCCTATTATTGAAACTTATTTATTTGCTACGAAATCGCTACGAATTGCGTAGTAGTTTGTAGCCGTTGCTAGATGCGTAGTAGGCAGTACTACGGCTACGACTGATAATATTCTACCTTTTTTCTGCGATAGTGCACAATCATGCTAACTGTTTTTTTTCCTCATAGTTAAAGAAAGGAAGTTCAGTTTAGTTTCTGCGTCTTCTCTATTGACAGTGAAATTTAAACAGATTGCTCCTGTTATAGACTGCGTGTTGCAATTGTGAAAAAGTCCTATTTTTTCGATATTCCGAAAAATTCTCAGTGTGAACAAGGTCATTTAGGGACCAGTAGGTAAAGCTCCCTAAGAAAAGATCCTCCTTTACCTCCGACCTGGAGAGGTGATCGTGGCTAGCGGGCTTTCTGCCCAACAGCTGTTCGTTGAGATTTTCTATCCATTTTTATTCGCATGTTAACTGCTTATGCGCGTACATAGATGATCGACGACAATTAGTGTATCTAGAGAATGTCATCCCCTATGTAGAGAACGTCATCTTACTTCTGTGATTTGTCAAGTGTTGTTAAAACTTCAATGTGCTTCGCCACAGCCGTATTATGTCGCATATAATTGTCAATATATGTTTCACCATCATGACATCACCATTCACCACATTGACATTGCATGAGGTATCGGACTCATAACAGAACTAGTGATAAGTAGGTGTTACATAATGTGCATCACTGTCTCCTTCTACACATAAATGAACCTTCAGGGATTGAAAGGCAATAAAACAACAGTATTTTTTACTAATATTGCTATTTTCAATTTATTGTTTATTGGTTTTCGAAATAAGATTGTTTTCTTTTTATTATTAATGACCATAATTAATTAAGAATTAATAATTGCAAGAGAAACTTTTTCTAATGTCTACTTAAATTATTACTGACTTAGTTACCGGAACTAATAGTAATAATAGTTACTTTCGGTTCTATTATTAATTAATCTCATTTTCTTTATTTACAAATTAAAAATAATTAATAAAAATACTTTTTTGTACTTTGTTTACGTCACTATTTGCAAAGGATTATTATTTAAATCGTTTATAAAATGTTACCTTATAGTTATTCCAAAAATCTCTATGTTTAAACTCCCTAATTTCATTTCCTTATTTGGTACAAAAGTAATTTACAGTTAATATTATTTTACGACTTCATATCGTAAATCTTAGGTCGTAGTGAGGCAAGTAGTGACGTAAGATATCGTACATCATTCAAAATCCCAATTTTTAACAAAATATTCTTAAGTTCTCAATAATAAATATAAAGTTTGGTGTTTTTACATTGGATGACAAAAAAAATGTTGTACATTTAACATGAATAAATTACTAAAAGTAAATAGTTTAAAACAATAAATAACTAAATGTAAATAAAGCTATGACTAGATCGTTAGGTGTATAAAGAAATACGTGTTCGTTCATTTTCCGTGGTAGATACCATAAATTCCTAGCAGTTATTTCATATAATTACCGAGGTCTAAATTGCACGTTTCATTATTACTTAAGTCTTTTTATTAAATCTATATTTACAAAATATCTTTTAAAAATATTATTTATAATTCGCAAAATTTTTATGTTTTTTTTTTCGGGTTTTCTATTACTTAAGCTGCGGTGCGATACACCATTTTGGATCCATGCAGTTATCAATCATGATTCGTAACAAATTATTTTTTATTTAATTTCAATTATCGTCAATACTTTGGCCGCGTTTTTAGTTAAGAATTCATTGACGTTTCAAATCAAAATTTTGGCATCGAGCGACTCTTGTTACACGGGCTCCTAATATATACGTATCTAAGTAGTTGTTTACAAAAGTGTGACGTAACGCAAACATTATGTATCCTCGTGCATGAATCCAATCGCGTTGTACTAATTCCTTCCGTTTAGTAACTATGTGTATTAAACTAACTCCTACAGGTTAATCGAAAGGTGATCTATTTACAAATGAATTGTTAACACTATTTTGGCTAAATGTCACTAATAACCTCTTAAACTAGAAATTGTGCCATCTCGTGAAAATGTCCATAATCATACAAAATGAACAAATCAACAGAAATTTAAACAAATAATCATAATATAGTACAAAATCCTACCGAATATTATCTACAACTTAGGCTTGAAAATATAATTTCTTATAATTATTTTGTACAGTGTCAATATAATGAGAACAAAACGCCTAACAAATTTATCATTAAATATTTAAACATTAGACTGCGCGCAGAGCGGCGGCAGGTGACGCCTGCGAGACCTCGATCACTTCTAAACAATGAGCAAAGTCAGGGAAATGAATACGTAACACTACATTTAAAAGGATGGTCACATCTCGCAAGCGACCGTCCGGCCGAGCGCAGCACGTCACCCGGGCGACCGGACACCGGACGTCCGGCTGTCCGACTCCTGCGACTCGCAGCAATGAAGTTACTAATATTAAAACACAGAATATTGATTATTTGCAAGGCACATTCTCTTAAAAATCCTGAATTTCATTTTTTATTCATGTACATATTCGATGCTCCGAAAACATTGAAAAGACGGCGCGCACGAACTGAACGATTGAAGCGTCATCTACTCACTGTAATGATATGTATATAATCGATTATTATATACCCTGTGTCTCGAAAAATATATAAGAATCCGTGGAAAGTGTATAGACAAACTTAAAAATGGTATAATATCTACACTAAAGACTAGATTGCTTGACTCAAAGGGAGTTTAAGAATGAGATCGGAATGAGATCCTTATTGCTGTGTGAGGGTTTGTCGGGGCGTGCCGGGGCGGGGCGCGCCGGAGCGGCGGTGCTCAGTATCCGTACCCGGGGCCCGGGTACAGCAGAGCCGCGCCGCCGCCCGCCGGTCAGTGCTGCGCCGCAAATTTCATCCGCTTCTGTTTCTGTCGCTGGTTGCAAAACCACACTCTCACTACGTTCTTCTTCAGGTCCAACTTCTCCGCAATCGCTGTTATCTTCTCCCCGGAAGGCCGCGGCTGCACCGCAAAATAAGCTTCCAAACTTCTCTTCTCCGGTGCTGCGATAGAAGTTCTCTTACGTTTCTTTTCACCAGCTGGCAGCACACTCGGCGCATCGGGGTCCCGTCTTTTGTTCTTGGCTTGCGCTTCTGCCTCTTCGAGCCACGCTTGCAGGATTGGTTTCAAGGCTATCATGTTGTTGTGACTTAGTGTAAGGCTCTCGAAGCGGCAGATTGTGCTCTGTGATAGAGCTCCTACGCCGGGAAGTTTAAGATTGGCAAGAGCTTTGCCGACGTCTGCTTGCGTAACTCCTAGTTTAATTCTTCGTTGTTTAAATCTTTCAGCGAAAGCCTCGAGTTCGCGAGGGTCTGTGTCGGTGTCTGGATGTAGTGCTGCTGCCGGGTGGCCAAGGTGAGCAGGCGGTGCGTGCGCTAGCCCCCCAGCATGGTGGTGATGGTTCATGACATGGTTCATCGCTCCGTAGCCGTGAAGCTGGTGGTGAGGTGGTGCTGCTTCTCCCATCGGCGCTAAGGTTGTCATCGATGACGATGTGAGCGGGTCGAGCATGTCTAGCCCCTCCATGCCATGGTGGCCCATCTGTGGACAGAAGCAGTCGTGAGTTCCCTGTCAATATTTTAATGATTAAGAGGATTATGAGGGGCGTCGTCACCATTATACTCGTCCGCCGTATTAACTTCTGCATTCATGTTAAATCGTACGTTTTATTGTAAATAAAAGGAGGGTGCTCGGCGCAACAATGGTACTCGGGACGATATGGAAACATAAACAATCATTGTGCAGATTTGCACTCATTCTTTATGAGAGCAAACACTTGTTTTTTATAGATGGGGGCGAGTGTTGTGACGTTGATTGGGAGTGAGTGTTCAGCCAATATGCTTAAGTTGTTGACCGGCATTGTTGCCGAAATGAATGTTTGTCGTGTAGCCGTCGCATATGCGCTCGCTATAAATATTTCGATGCATCCCCTGTTGGATAGGACGCTTTGATTTTTTATGATGAAACTGCTTTTGTTAGGCGTCTAATCAAATGTTATTCATTGTCCTTTGTAGCTAAAGATTTATTAATAATGCACGATACGTTGTCAACTGTGAAAAATAACGTGTGTCTTGTTAAAGGTTGATTATTATGTATTAGAAACAAGTGATGGTAAATATTAACAACACTGAACCATGTGTGAAGCTATCCTACGACAACCAGTGTTGATAGATTACTTATATAAGAAAACAAAAACAAATACCTCTTCTTTCAATAAATCAACAACTTAAAAGGAATAAGAATAAAATCAAAACGGCACATATAATTTAACGCCAAAGCGCGTCAGTTCTTTCAAGAAAACCCCTTCGCAACTTCTTTATCAAACAACACGGTCGAATTCCCCAACACGGTTTCCTTAATCAATAAACCCCCTACACGTGGGTTTTGCAACGGTACGTAGGTACTTGAGGAAAAAAGTGCACTATCTATTTCCAAGTCTAGGAGTTCATGTCTGCGTGCCTCCCGAGGGCACAGTAACTCACAATTAGTGCTCCTCACGTTATTGCAATGTTCTTGCACGATATTTATGTGTGTGTATATTTTTACGGTATTCTCTTTGACTTTGGTGTAGTATAGTTTATTTATACGTCTGATTTTTATGTTCCTTTTGTTAAGTTTTTTTTTAATTTTGACTTTTGTTATTTGTGTTGATTAATGTTAGAAAATGTGACCTGTTATACCGTACCTATAATAAATAACCTCTCAAATAAACACTTAGGCCCATTTTTTCAATGATCAGATAAATTTTAACTGAGGAATAACTTTGAATATTTGACAATTCTTTCATATTAAAAAATGTTAACTGTCGATTTTATTCTACAGTTGAGAATTAACTGATGATTGAAAAATTGGCCCGTTATAGACTTCAGAACGTGCCATAAATGATGCATATGTATGTGTTCTAAAATTAAATACTCACTCATTTAAAACTAAGGATACCTCTTAGAACAAAACGAGACTTTTATGCGACCTTTCAATTACTGCAGTATAAAGAAATCAACCAGACAATCATTTTTTCCTCACTGTCAGAACCACCCATATATCCCCCAAGCGGTCACCTGTGACCGCTCTTCACTAACTACAATATAGACCTTATTTCCAATGTTTAGAGACTACTTTTGTATGAACAAATTTAGGGGATGATTTTCAACGGGTTAAAACGCACAAACTAAAATAAAATGAATCTTCCAAAGCAAATTCTTAAGTGCAGATCTCTTAATTACTAAGTTAATAACGAGGACAAAGTTAAGTTAGGCAGATGGTACCAGGAAGTTAACTTAGTGTTCCTAAGTTATTCAAGTGTCTTCACATTAAGACCGTATAGGAAATGAGGTCTAGACTTTGGTTCCTCTGTGACTTACACTTAGGACATTGAGAACCTAAGTACTCTTGTACTATGCTTACATGTCCGTCATTAGTTACTGGGCGACTTGTCTTGATGTATTTTAAGTACATGCAATTTTGAAAGGAGTTTTGACGTGGTTGAATGGCAGGTTGCAATTAGATTTAGTTTGTATTAAATATTATGCATGAAGGTACGGGTTCGAAGTACCAATATCATTTTTCGACTTATGATTATGCACTTTCTTTCAACGTTTATTAAGAACGATGTAGGAAGACATCGTGAGGAAACCTAGACATAAATTTTCGAGTTTGAAAATGATAACCCCATTGAGTGAGCGTGGCGAATAATGCTCAAGCGTTCTCTGTGTGAGAAGAAGCCTTTGTCATTTGATGTGGTATGTAATATGAAAGTAAAAGTGTTGTAACTATTTAAAATTAACGAAAACTACCCCGCGTAAAGTATCTTTACTGACAAGTCAATGAAGATGACAAGTAATTAAGTGCCGCTACTAATACAAAATTATCAAAACCAACTCAATTCTTCGTACCCCTTTTAAATTCATAATTCTAGAATGTTAATTAAGCTCCAACCATATTAGATTCACAGGTGCAACATACAGCCATAATTCGAGTGTATGCCCCCCTCATATTTGATACACGCATGTAACAGGGGACACACGTATGTCATTGTGTAGTGATGGGACGCCTCATAACTTTGTTAATATCGATATCGATAATTTCAAGTTTAGTTTTCGAGCGTGACTGTGTGCTTTGTGAAATTAGCTAAGATTATGTTCTGCGTGTAAAATGATTAATTAGAAGTAATATAGTGATTATAATCTACTTTATTATTATTATTATTATTTACTAACTTAAAGTTAAACCTTTTTAAAATTTGTTAGGTACAGATAATCTTAGAAGTCTATTCGGAATGGTATGAAACGAATTGTATCAACCTTTGCTACTATATTACAAATTGTTTTTTCAAATAGGTCAGGATATGATGACATCGAAAGGTCAGTACAATATTCGTGACCGGGCGCGCATGTCATGTATCAAAAAATCCATGAATTTGAAAGAAACTCCGGACTGTATAAAAAATGCGGCGTCTAACTGTGCGGTATATTGCCGTAGGTATGGTTGTGACATTTCAACTTAATCTGACTGGTTCTTTGGTCGAATAGTCACTGGAGTAAGTACGGAGGTCTCATTTAGGTTCGGGAATGAAATCGTATATTTCCGAAAATTATAGAAATAGTAAGAAGATTTATGTCTTTAATCTCAATATTACGTGAAATCTCAATGCACATCTGTAAACCTTTTCAAGGAATAACTTAATAAATTAATTCCTAAATATACAATTTCCCTTTTCTCGCTACCAAACCCTTTTCATTTGTACTTATCTATTCGTACTTCTGTCTGACTTTGACCTTATATCTCAGTGGAGCATCGTACTAAGTTTAAACAACATTTTACAGTGATCTGAATTTAACGGAATGAGAACATTTTAATTTAAGCGCTGACATTGAGCAAGTGGGTCGTTGTTGAATTGATGACAAATTGCCTAGTTAACAGTTAGTTATTCTAGGAATAATGAAGGGACTACCACTTTTGTTTATTTTTGTCTAAATGGCCTAGGCCTCAATATCTTTTAGCATGTAAATAATTTGTTAGGTATTTTAATCATCTCAATTCTAGAGAAGAGGTACGTTTTTGTTACCAGTTATATTGTTGACAGTTGTTAATTAATACTGTTGTTGATACGCGAACAAAGTTGATTTAGTCACAAATCATAAAACTGTATTCATCGACCAACTCAAATTTGATATTGTTAAGTTTATCGATATTTGTCCCTCTCTATACAATACAATTGCAAGTGGATATTAAATAAATTATATTCCTTTAATAGTGATTTGTGTCGCTACATTATGATTGGGACAAGTGGCCAAATTTGTTCGACGGTATGGCCACGAAACCATCTCGTTAGTTAGAATAAGCGGGAGATATATTTATCTGAAATTGGATAACATGGATAGAACGTCGAAATGTATTGTTATTTATGTAATTATTTTTTTTTGTTGTAACTTGAAAACGCTGTCATAACATTATGAATTAGTATGTACGTTTATGCATAAGGTCATCATATACCTATGTCATATTCGTATTAATAAAATGCATCATTATTAATGTATCTACAAGGATTTTTGTATAACTTGTAATTACACAGACATTCCATTTCAAATTCATAAAATAAAGTAATTAGGTACTTTATCTATTGTACCTAGGTATTGCCATAATATATTAATTTAATGAATAGCCAGGAATTAACTATTGATTACAAATACTATGTAAATTCTTCTACAGAAGTGTACATATATATGAAATATATTTTAATCAATAACGCTTACTTTATAGCCACACCGCTCCTATTTCCCACCCCATCGCTTGATAGACAGCCGTACAACAAACTTCACACACTCTTCCTACTACGCAATAAAGTTAAATATTCCTTGGCAACCGTCAAATATCTCTTAACCTTTATTTTTATGACAGTAAGATTCAATTTTGGTCGGCAATAATTTGAGATTGGATACGATTACTATTGAATTGTATTTTGACTGTTTCGCTGGGTTTACTTGTGGCGTTATTATGGAAGGGATGCCTTCCGGAAATGGGTAGGCAGTGGTCTAAGCGAAGCTATTTGTAATGCACCTATCTCTGAGTAGGTAGGTACTAAAGAAGTTCATTGAACTACATTTTGTAAGTTATGTTCCAGAATTTGGAAACTCCTGCCTGAGCTAAGGGAATTTAGAATATAATCTTATTGAAACAGGTTTGAAGATGAAAATTGATGAGATCCTAACGATTTTAACACATATGTATGTACGTATGTATTTACTAAGGTTTAGTTGCACCACAGAAAGTAGTTATAGTATTAGTTAGTGTCACATTTAACAATAACTGTAACGCTGACTGTAACAGTTACAGCAAAATGTGTTGCAATGGTTGCACCAGCGAATTTAGTAGCTTTGTCAAAGTTAAAAGTATTACAAGTCAAATACAGTATGATTTACCTCAATTTGATGTAGGTAAAATTTTGAAACGTGGAAATACTAAAGATAATCGTAATAAATAAAGATTATATAAAAATATGTTTTTGACGCTGTTTTCAGTGTACCTCGGATTGTAGCAGAGGA